CAAAGCCAAACCAGTTCAAGAGGCGAAACTAACTAAGAGAGCCGTCGACACAACCTACGTGCTGTGAACAGGTAAAGGAGATATATACATGGTCGTATATGTGAGAAAACTACGGGCTTATGAATGGTAACCGCCATATGAATGGCTTTACAAAGACCACAAAAGACGTGGGCTTTGCCTCAGTTCGCGGCGCATATTAAACTGAATTTAAATTTAGCTGGAGCGAAGTGTAAGTATGGGTATGGAGCCGTACACATGGGTCCGGTATATATGTCTGGGTTTGCTTTTGCGAACCCAAGGCACGCACCTGGCTTTTTTGGCTTGAAACGGCTTAGTTTAATGCCGCACTGAATTGGCCAACGATGGCGATCGACGACGACGACGACGGCTGCACTTGTCGCTTGGCTCAAATGCCAAGCCGGAGTCGATTGCAATTCTTGCCACCGCTCCGCGCTCCGTGCTTCAATCCATCCACTGCATGCCCCTGTGTATGTGGCAGCTGCATAATTATAATGTCTGGGCCCCGAGCGGTACATTGGCTGAGTCGGCTTGTCGGGCCTGTCTAGCCGAAAGGTCAAACAACATATTTTTGCCGTTTTTATTGACGCTCTGAACTTTGTTTGTGAGACAAAATTAGTTTAGTCAAGTCTTCGAGTCTTATGAAACTGCTAAAAAAAAAAGTGTTCATTAAAAATTCAATGTGATATTTGAACGGAAACCCATAAACCAATTCATAACTATGCAAATGCGATCCAAAAACTAGCAAAATTCCGTTTGAGGTATGAAATATTATAGAACGCAGGTCCTAAAAGCCGGGAAATTCATAAAACAATTCATAGCTATTTTAAGCACAAACTCATCAATCGGAAATACAGCATTTGGATAGCATATTTAATTGTTTCTTTTGTATGTATTTCGAGAGCAAAATAAAACTTCGTCTATTTAAAATATTTTGCAAGTATAATCAATACACATAAACGATCGCATTTTGTACTATTTGTTTTGGCACCCGCACACTCTGGACCAGGCTTAAAGTTTTGTTTTTGTTATTTTTTGTTTAATTTTATTTATGTATGCAGCTAAAAACTTTGCCGTCGACTGTGGGACCGTGTGCTCACCCATTTGTTTTTATAAAACTTAATGGTCGGCTGATTGCCGGGCAAAATGTCGGTATTATCCATACTTTTGTGAATAAATAAATTTGTTTTTTCAAGGATGCGTTCATTAACTTTTCGAGATTTATGTAGGCCGCGTGTGAAAAGATGCGGGCCAACCTCAAACAGCGCTGCAATTGTCAGCGGATCCCATTTGGAGCCAACACAAATTTTAATGGGGCGACATAAAACCCATTTTTATTTTGCACTTTTGGCTCCTAATGGGGTTGAGTGTGGCCGCTAAACAAAAACCAAAAAAACAAAAAGAACTACAAAATCAGTCAAGCGTCTACCGTCACCAAAGAGCCAGAAATTCAAGTTATCTGGCGGCGTTTTGAAAACTGTTCGGGCATAACGCTCGACCGGCCAACACTGCTCTCTTGAAAGTTAGATAATCGAGATACCGCTGCATCGAAACAAGACACTCTGGCCAGATTAATGGCTGCGAGCTGATTAGTTTGAGGCCAAGACCAAAGCCAGCACAAAAGGCCAGCTCGATGGGCCGCAATTAAGCAGAGACAACGCAACATGGTGCTTTGTGTGGAGTCCCAGTTTAGTCAGAACATGTAAATTATAGATAAGCTGGCAGATTGCGCCCCATGCTCTACATGCCCAGCAACCGAAATGTTCATTTGTCAAAATTAACACTGCTGTGGAGCCGTAGCCAATCGAATCAAAAATGCCGCCAGCTAGAGGTATTACCACTCGCGATATCTTTGAGCCCGAGAAATTGGGACAAATTGATTACTGGCATACCTTTAGTTCCCCTAGAAATTCAGAAACAGAACTCAGCGGTTCCTAACATCCCATTGATGATCGCGATCTCAAGAGCTAAATAATTTCTAAAAAAACAGTGATACTAGGTATCACTCAGTCTTGTATAACGATTACGTTGTTCTTTTCCCTTGTTATCTACTCGAAAACATCGGTTTCCGAAAATTCCTGTCCCTAGCAATTTGGCTTTCTCACACCCTCATCACTCATACGGCTTCCCGGTTATTGTCATTCTATTAACTCCAAAACTGTGAGCCAGACCATCAATCATCCTATTGGGGGACTCCATGAAAAGTTCGTTAGTGCTAAATATTAACTTTACATTCCCGGCATCTGCAACTGAAAATTGATATATTTCTCACATTGACGCGTCTCGTTATTAATTCAGTTTTCACGAGTATCTCGCTTCTTCTTTCCTTTGTGTTTTGTGTTTTTCGGGCCAAAAGTTACCGTACACTTTTGTGGGTTTTCGACCACGTCCCTGGCAGTTTAATTGAGGCAACACGAGAAAATAAGAAAAAATAACAAAACAAAAAGATACAAACAACTGGCGCTGTTTTAAAAAACCGGCTTAGGCGCGCCTGTGTGTTTGTGTTGGCCATCCATCATTATGAAATGTTTGCCAGTGTGGGTAAGTGGTGCACCTGCTCGCATTTCGACTGGAAGCCCCTGTACAGAGGTGGGGTTCTTCAGGGGCTCTCAGAGGGAAGGGCAAGGGGAAGGGGGTTCCTGAACAGGTCCGGTTTGGGTCCTCCTTCATTGATAGTTTCGAGTGCAACTTTCGCATGCGCAAAGTTGCCGGACAACATATGCTGACCAGATCGGATCCAAGTCCAACCCCATCTTCTCAGTTCCCAACTCTCAGCTCTTAGCTCCCAGCTGCTGCTTCTGTTTTTGCTGGCCGTGATTCTGGGGCCGTCTTTTTTCCAGATAGGTATATACTTATTTTTTGTGCGCCCAGCGTAAGTTAATATGACTTGTAGCACGATGATTGCTTCCTGTGCCGAGAGGAGAGCGGCAACTCGGCTTGAAAAACCCGCTGACAGGCAGCGACATCAGCGGAGCTTCATCAGGTCGCTTGCCTTTTTTTATGAATGAAAAATCGCTGTCGCTTTGGCTATAGCCATCTCCCTCTGCTGGCGGAAGTTATAAATTAATTGAGTAAATATCGATTCGCAAACATACCTACACACAGAGGGAGAGGATCCGATGTCTAGGGCTTGTTAATTGGCAGCACTTGAAGAGCAACTCGCAAAACACAGAGCGTTCAACTCCAGCTATTTGCATAGTCAAATTGGCTGGATACACGGAGCTATTGGCAATCGAGTTAGGAACTGTTTAGCTGCCAGCGTTTCGGTGCAGGAGATTAATGACCATAGAAATCGAATATTCAATTGCTCATCGAGTATTCTCATTCGGCTTTGATAATTTATTGAGAGCGCTTCAGATGGATTTTTATGCTTGCCACCGCTCAGGGAGCATTTCGTGTAATTCGGAGCGCGTTTTATGGCAGTGCTTTTATGGCACTGCCAATACGCTTGCCGTCAACTTAGGCTAAACTTTAGTAATTACCAGACGGCGTTATTTGCCAATTATTTACTCGTTCTCATAAATCGCTCGATGCTTCAAGGCGAGAATTTATGACTGAATGGAGTTGCTTCATATCGGTAATATGCCATTAATTGGAGAGTGGACCGCTTTTGTGGGTAATCTATTTAAGAGTTGAGCTAAAAAGTTCTTTAAACCAAGTGGATACTGTTATAAAGTCTCTGTTGGAGATTTTTTACTCTCAAAGCCCAGTTATCTGTGTACGGTTTCTAAGGAGAAAACCTTTAGCTTGCCAACTTCGCACGGTACACATCTTTAACCCAATATTTTTTTACACTCGCCCGAGGCGACTGTATCTTTTCGAGATCTGAGAGAGCGCGTCATGCATAATTGCATATATCAGATACAAACACCTAGCTGTACACGTATGTTTGTATATTTCGCAAACACATACTGTACATATGTTTGTATATTTGCTCGCTCGTTACTGTCGCGTCATAAGGAGCGACAACAATTGCTGTTTCTGTTGCTGTTGCAGTTGCAACTTGTTTGGTACCTGCCGCTGCCGTTGACGCCACCCAACTGTCAACTTTCTTTTTTCACCCCACCCCGACTCATGTAATTACAGTGTACCGCCTGTAAGCGTATGTGTGTGTTTGTGTGTGAGTTTTACTTGCATGCAATTAGCATAAAAAATATCAACACAGTTTGCATTTATATAACGCTACAAATTATGCATCATTGAAGCTGCCACCGCAGCAGCAAACTGCAATGACGTTGAATAATGACCGAAAATGCAATGGAAACCCGGCTGTATCCACACCCACCCCCACCACCACCCCGTCGCACTGTGAAGTGGCAAGCTGGCAGTCAACAGTTCGCCAGCGGAAAACAGAAAACAGCCAGCGGGCCCAGACACCGCAGCCTCGGCTCCATCTGCATCTGCCTCGGCCTCGGCCTCCGCATCCCCGTCTCCTAAACTCCAGCTCCATCATCCACCATCCTGGCCAAGACTGGTTGGCGGGGGGCCGAGGGGGCGGAGGACGCGGCGATGTAGGAGTATAAACTTGTACCCGACGTCGTCGTGGTAGGTGCCACTGACACCTTACGCACACCCACTTCCAAACATGTTGCTCGTATCTGCAAAGGCAAGCCAAGTGCGATGAGCTCGTGCTGGCTATAAGATATGCGCAATATTTACTCCACATAATGGCAAAATAACAGGGAGATTAGCCAGTAAATTTAAATCAACATAACATATCTCAATATTTAATTATAAAATGCTATAATTAAACAGACAATAATAAGTATGACACTGCATTGGGAGCTATTTATTAAAACTGTTTAAACAATCATTCCACATTATTACAGATCTTGTTCAACCACCCTGAAAGCGACCCTAAAAATGTAAAATTTATTAGGGATTTGCTAGGCCACGAAATCTAGAAACGAAAGTGCATAATACGAATAGATAAGAATAAAAATTAAACCCCAAACTTGTATAAAATCTGTAGGTAATGCATCGATCAGTATCAGTTCTCAAAATGAAGGTCTTGATTGCTCTGGTTGTTTTGATGTCCCTTGGCCCTTTGGCCTCTGCTATTTTCGTATGTATCAGTACTTTTTGAGTATTATTATTAAACTAATTTGGTTTCCAAACAGAAACATTTAGCAAATGAGTGCGCAAAAAAACATGGAATCACTCCATATCTCATTGAGAACTTTCCACAAAGTAATCAAGTCAAGTGCTATTATCATTGTCAATTGGAAAAGCTGGAAATAATTGCCAATGGCGTTGTCAACCCTTTCGATGTGTCCGTACTTAACGTAACTGAGGCGAACTACAACGAGTTTGGTATAAAGATAAAGCCATGCTTGACAATATTAAACGCCAAAAATTGTGAGCTCGGCTATTTGGTATTCGAGTGCCTAAAAAGACACTTTGATGAATTAAATCAATAAATTAATATGGGGTATTCCTATTTGATTGATGAGTAAAAAAGTATCGCCAATTTTTTTGGGTATAACGAATAACGTGATATTTGGTTACCAATGGGTCGATACTTACAATCTTTTTAACCTCGCTAAAGAATTTCTGAATAATAATAAAAATAAGAATTTCTTCATAACTAATAGTAAATAATAATAAATATTTATTTTTGAACACGAAATCTAGAAACGAATACGAATAGTTAAGAAGAAAAATTATAGTCGAAACTTATGCGTAAGCCTGTCCAAAGATCGTATAAAAGGTGTAGGTAATGCATCGATCAGTATCAGTTCTCAAAATGAAAGTCTTGATTGCTCTGGTTGTTTTGATGTCCCTTGGCCCTCTGGCCTCTGCTATTTTCGTAAGTATCAGTACATTTTAGTTAAACATTATTTTACTAATTTTGTTTCAAAACAGAAACATTTAAGTAATGAGTGCTCAAAAAAACATGGGATCACTCCATATCTTATTGAACATCATCCCAAAAGTAATCAAGTCAAGTGCTTTTATCATTGCCAATTGGAAAAGCTGGAAATAATTGCCAATGGCGTTATCAACCCTTTCGATGTGTCCGTACTTAACGTAACTGAGGCAAACTACAACGAGTTTGGCATAAAGATTAAGCCGTGCTTGACAATATTAAACGCCAAAAATTGTGAGCTCGGCTATTTGGTATTCGAGTGCCTAAAAAGACACTTTGATGAATTAAATTAATAAATAAATTCGGTGTATTCCTATTTTATTAATGAGTAAAAAAAGTGTCGCTTATATTTTTGGGGTAAATGGGGTACAATAAAGTCACTGAATAACGAGATATTTGGTTACCAAAGGGTCGATATTTATAATGTTTTTAACCTCACTAAAAGATTTCTAAATAATACTAATTTCATTGTAACTAATAGTAAATAATAATGCAAAAATAAAGTTTTGAACACGAAATCCAGAATCGAAGGTGCATAATACGAATAGACAAGAAGAAAAATAATAGCCGAAACTTATGCGTAAACCCGTCAAAAGATCGTATAAAAGCTGTATGTAATGCATCGATCAGTTTCAGTTCTTAAAATGAAGGTCTTGATTGCTCTGGTTGTTTTGATGTCCCTTGGCCCTCTGGCCTCTGCTATTTTCGTAAGTATCAGTACATTTTTGTAAAATATTATTTTACTAATTTTGTTTCAAAACAGAAACATTTAAGTAATGAGTGCGCAAAAAAACATGGAGTCACTCCATATCTTATTGAGAACCATCCCACCAGTAGTCAAGTCAAGTGCTATTACTATTGTCAACTAGAAAAGCTCGAAATACTTGCCAATGGCGTTATCAACCCTTTCGATGTTTCCGTACTTAACGTAACTGAGAAGAACTACCACGAGTACAGTATAAAGATTAAGCTGTGCTTGTCGATGTCACACCACAACAAATGTGAGCTCGGCTATATGGTATTCCAATGCCTTAAAAGACACCTCGAAGGTTTAAATTAATAAATCCATTTGGGGTATTCCTATTTTAATAAAGAGTAAAAAAGAGTCGCTTATATTTTTGGGGTAAATGGGTCACATAAAGTCACTGGATAATTAGAAATAAATTGTTTGGACCTAGACACATGAGTGCATAAGAAATAATAAGAAATTAATATGAACGTAAACATTAAGTACAACAATATCAATTTCAAGATTCTGGCTCATCGGTGCTCATTCTTAGAAATCCGGGTGGTATTCTATAAGTGTGGAGACACATATCTATAAACTGAGAGCCCATGAATACAACAGATTTAAAGGTAAGCAAATTTTAGAAACTGTATTTACTAGCACGAAAATATTATAATTTTTGTCCGAAAATGATATATTTAAACATTTGGTAGAGTCGAAACTTACAATCTTTTTAACCTCGCTAAAATATTTCAAAATATTAAAAATTTCTTGGTAACTAATAATAAATATAAATACAAATTAAGATTGCACACGAGAGTGCATAATAGGAACAGATAAGAAGAAAAATAATAGCCGAAACACCCGTCCAAAGATCATATAAATGTTGTAGGTGAATGCATCGATCAGTTTCAGTTCTCAAAATGAAGGTATTGATTGCTCTGGTTGTTTTGATGTCCCTTGGCCCTCTGGCCTCTGCTATTTTCGTAAGTATCCGTACGTTTTTGTACAATATTATTCTAATAATTTTGTTTTAAAACAGAAACATTTAGCAGATGAGTGCATAAAAAAACATGGAATCACTCCATATCTTATAGAAAACAATCCCACAAGTTCTCAAGTCAAGTGCTTTTATTATTGCCAATTGGAAAAGCTCGAAATACTGGCCAATGGAGTTGTCAACCCTTTTGATGTGTCCGTACTTAACGTAACTGAGAAGAACTACGCCGAGTACGGTATAAAGATTAAGCTGTGCTTGTCAATATTAAACCATAATAAATGTGAGCTCGGCTATATGGTATTCCAGTGCCTAAAAAGACACCTCGACAAATTAAATTAATAAATAAATTTGGGGTATTCCTATTTAAATAAAGGGCAAAAAGGTGTCGCTTATATTTTATATTTATATTTTACAATAAAGTCACTGGATAATTATAAATAAACCAAATTTAATTTTCGAAACGAATTATAAAAAAATCAAAAACTTTAATGATAATAAAAACCTTATTAAAGCTATCCATATTGCATAAATGTGTTGGTGGCCAAATATAAATATTTTTAACAGAACGAATTACACAAAGATTTTCCAAAACTAGGATTAATTCCTGTGCATTTAATAGAGGCAACAAATTTCTATATTTATGTCAGTAAAATTAATACTACAACTTTGTAGTTTATAGATCTCAAGGAAAAACAGGAACTCAATTATTAAATTGATTGGGCTTTTTTTCTCAGACACATGAGTGCACGTTAATAACAAATTAATATCAACAGCCATAATATCAAGTCACAATGGCCCTAAAATCAGAATTAGCCATGATAAGCAACGATTATGATTCGACATAAACATAAAGTACAACAATATCAATTTCAAGAGTCGGGCTTATCGTTGTTCATCCTTAGAAATCCGGGTGGTGTTCCATAAGTGTGTAGATACACATGTAGGATCTCAGAGGCCCTGTACCCCCACCACCCCAAAACCAGCGCACCACCTCTAGTAGATGTATGGCACGCATGAATAGACAGCAGCCGAGCTTTGAAAGCGCATTCGCATTCACACTCATGCTAGAAATCGCATTCTCCGCCGCTGAGTTTTCACTCACTTGACGTGCAAAGTACTGCAAAAAATACGGAAAAAAACAGCATAAAACAGAATATGTTTGTAGGAAACAAAAACATAGGAAAAGCCAGAGGAAGAGCAAAAAAATTGGTTCAATTTAGCACAAAGACAACACGGAGAGTGGGGGAACTTTTTAGCCGGGCCCCATCGCATGGGCCTATTGAAGACCCGGCTCCAGTTGAGAAAAGCAAACAACGACAACTCGTTAGCACAAATTTCAAGCGGGTGAGAGAACGAATTGGCGGGGAGTGTCAACGCCTTTTAAATGGGCAGCTTTTTAGCTTTTTTCGGTTACAATGGTTCTCAGACCAACGCGAAACAGGAAAAGCCATTCCACTCCACTCCACTTTGTTCTTGTTTTGGCCGCTGATACTTTTTGGCAAATTTTCATAAACTGATATTTATCTTTACTGCACAAAAGAAAATGTGCTCTGCCAGCAGAGGAAGAAAAGAAGTTGCGAGCAATTTTCTGCTGCTTTTCGTTGCTCATTTTCGGTTTTCTGGCGGAAGTGAATTTGCACAAAAAATAATAAGGAACATGTTTTGCGCTTTTGACCAAAAACTGCCAGCCCAAATAGAAATGTTTACACCAACCGAAAAATAAATACTGCTCCAGGAAGAATTCAGTTTATAGAGTAGGGGCTCTTGGGGGAGGGGAGAATGTGCATAAGCCAACTTAACAACAGCAAGATGGCAGCACATTTTGTATTTACATAAAAACAAATGACCAGCATTTTGTGTTTGGGGTCGCAACTTTGTGATCAAGCCAAGGGGGGAAATCCAGGGACAAAGTCCGAGATGGAAAGAGCTGTTCACAAATGAGAAGGTACGACCGGGGGTTGTAATTATGCGGCACTTTCCGATGCAGATGCAGGCTGATGAATATATATGTATTTATATGGATGGGATGTATATCCCAGCAAGGAATGCAATTTTCTTTCTTTCTTGGGAAAAAGTTACAGACATGAGGTGGCAAAAATTCACCTTTTTGTAGCTGCAAGTAAGCCTGCATTGGATGATCAAATGGGGAGTGAAATAAATAAAAGTAATAAAAACTGCAGCTAAGAAACATACGATAAAAATCTTGTATAATCAATTTTAAATACCTAAACAAGTGAAAAAAAGAATGTAACAATTAACTATAATTTACTTTTTTCTGTCAAATATCCGTATTCCGAATAAGCTGTACCGTAACCGACATAAGATTCGGTTTGATTCCCTGTTAGTAACTAATGGTTGGGAACTTATGCGTTAAGTAGCACGATAAATTTTTTAAAATATGCCGGCAGTGCACTGATCAAAATCAGCCTCCAAAATGGAAGCCTTAGTTCTTTTCCTAGTTATTTTATACATTGCTTATGCCGCTAAAGTAAAAGCGTATTGATATGGTTTTATTAATGTAAGTAAAATTGAAGTACATATTTTTAATTTTTTTTATATGATGGAAAACGGCAAGATACTTAGTCTTTCAGATCATCCTGTAAAGCTAAGGTAAAGGCATTGCTTTGACGAAGCCAATACCGACGATTGTGAGCTGGGCTTATAAGCTTTTTAAATGCCTAAAAAACGTAAATGAATTGCCAATTGCAGCAACTCTTAAAGATTAGGGATCTTATTGCCTAAAAATTATCCAAAATAAGGAAAATATATCTAAGGAATAAATGTCTTTTTACTTTTATATTTTTTATAATGAGTAAAGTAATACAAATAAATATTCGATTATATTGTATATTTTTACATCTACTGCAGATTTTTCTACTTATACCTAGAATGAGCGAAACACAAATTTTTTCTCAACCCTTTTGTACATACAAATATTCAATTTTCTGCTCCCTCAAAAAGTGGAATACATGAAAGGGGATGCCTCCGTAATGAGGCGGGCACTTGGGCTTAAGGATAGCTTGGAATCCATCCAAATGGAGCACATACATCACATCGGCTTTCTGTTCTGTGGCCAGAGCCAAACGCGGTCAGTTAGCAACTTGAAGAGCTGCCTTATGTAGGCTAGTACCAACATCATTTGCTCTTTATGGCTTAGAGCTCTTGTACGCAACCCCATAACCCGTTCGTCATATAATTTGCACTCATTTTTTTAAACTCCTTTCTGCGTGTTTTTTGCTGCTTTTAATCAGAGCAAGTGGCTTACTTGCCGAGTGGTAGTGGTCTTAGTTGGGCAACCGATTAGCTGGACCTAAGCCGTTGGTTCAATGCACTACCGGCGTAGTGAAGGATTTATGCTGAAAAGTTGTGTGCTAACACACTTTAGCTTTAGCTTTGGCTGCGGCATTAAGCCAAATCGGGTTTTAAGTCCACTCTGTTTGCCGAGGTTTTGCAGCCCTAATTCAATTTGCCTACGTAAATCGTCTGCGGATTATAAAGCTGACAGTACATATGGACGGATATCTCTACAACGAGCTCAATGTGGGTAAAAGAGATTTGTGAATTCCACTCTCCTCCGGTGCCTAACCACATCCTCAATTTTCCAGTTGTGCTAAAAAAGAGAGGCGAAATGAGAGAAAAAGACTGTGGATATGTGCCGGCATAAAACTAATTTTGTAGGTTTGCCCCTTGCTACACATTTCCCTTTATTTTATCTTTTTTGCCTTCTAGCCAGCGGTTTCTTGGCGGTTTTTTGCCTTTGGCAGCTTGGCCTGTATTAATTTTCGACGCGGGCAAACCTTGGAGACTGTCTATAAGAATTTATACCTTATATTTTCTGTATACACCAGGTATAGCAATGGGGCAGGTGCTAATGCCACAAGGAAGTAATGGTATTGCCAACCTGCCAGGAACCTTATTTGCCTCCTCTCTTTTTTGTGGTGCTTCTGTTTTGGGTTTTATTTTTTTCTTTATATAATTTAAATGGTAAGTGCCTAAGTTCTGGGAATTTTCACGTCACTTGGTGTACGCAAATGTGGATAACAATGCGAATTAAATGTATTTCAAAGAATTATGGCAATTTAAGCGGCATAAATTGTTAGTTGAAATTGTTATGCGCAGTTCATTGAACAGAAAAATAGAAAATTCCATTTTTAAAGCACATTATCGCTTGCATTTGAACAGTTTTACAATGATTTCTGGTATTTACTTTAGCTCCGCTCACTATTCTCTTACCCCATTTCACAGCATGATAATCAAATATTATCAATGCTCACTAATAGATTCGTCATGTCGCATTTGGAGCAAATACAAATTAAATTATTCTTAATTTTTCATTAAAATTTTTTAAAATGTTTAAATCTCATATTGCAGTTTTCTAGGCTCATAGATTTTCAAGGTTAAATCCCTACTTTTAAATAAATATGCGGAATAGAAAGAAGAATAACTAAAATTCCATCACTAAAATTTTGAAGAAAAAAAATTTTAATAACAACAGCCTGTTATATGACCACGAAATTAAAGTTTGAACACGTAAAAATTAAAACAAAATGCGAAAAACAAAGTCGTAAAAATCATTAATTTGTAAAACTTATTCAAAAAGGCGTGCGATAAAACCTATATATACGAAGTTTCCACCAATTCACCGGTAAGAATTAAAAATGAAAAAACTGGCTGGCTTGGTTCTCCTACTTGCGATCGGCGCACAAGCAGCTTATCCTGGAGTAGTAAGTAAAAAATTTGGTTTTCCTCAACCACGAAAATTTAAATACCGTATATTCTAGCAACAATCCCTAAAAGTATGCGGCGAAAGGGAGGGAGTGACCTTAGACGTAGTGACCCACAATCCCTTCCAGCAAAACGTCAAGTGTTTTTATCATTGTCATTTTGAGATGGTCAAAATAATTGTCAATGGAAAAATCGAAATACCCAAAATTGAAAATGCAAAGCCATGCCTAAACATTGAGCATGCCGACAAATGTGAGCGCGCCTCTATGCTTCGTACCTGCTTAAAAGCGCACTTGGATAGTTGGGAATGGCGTCAATTTGCCATGTAAGACCATCCTAACGTACGATAAATTACAAAATTGTATGGTAAATATTAACTAAAATAAATCATACCAAGAATATACAAAGCTCTACATTTTATTTCTCGGGCCTCAAAATATTAGTTGATACTTTGGGTTAGCGCCGCTCAGTCTTCTCCTACCCGATTTCACAACTCGCTAATCAAACATTTTCAATGCCCACTAATAAATTCGTCATGTAGCATTAGGAAGACCAAACAAAAGAATCGTGTTGATACAGATATAGATACAGATAGATGATAGATTCAACCTTTGAATGCAACATAAACTCTTAACACCCGACAATTAGCATCGACTTTTACACGAATTTAAAAAAGGAACTTTTAACGTCATACAAATTTGATATGCAAATAGTTTTCAATTAACAGATGAACAAACACCGACAATAAAACTCAAACTATGCGAGACAAAAGCGCCAACTTTGTCATCACCAAAGTGTAGGGTAAAATAATTAAAAAGCGCACGGCAAAGGCAACAATGTTTGTCAGTTAAAGTGCCGGCTCGGTCCGGTCCCCTCACCTTTCCATTCTGCAACAACTTCCCCTTCGAAGTGATGGCAAAAATTAAATTATGTGTGCCACAAAGTTCGCCTGAATTATGTCGCATAAATCAAATAAACAGCAGCCGAAGCAGGCGGAAAAAATAAAAGTTGAGGCTGCAGAAATTGTTGAGGAAAATAACTGAAACTGTGAAAAAATTTATACGAAAAACTTTTTGCATGTAAAGGGTGGGTGGTTGGTTGCGGGGGAGAGGGAGGTGGACGGGGTGACCCTTGTGTTAAAGCAACACTTGGCTGCGGCAAGAAAATTATTCTCTATATCTATTTGTTGTGAGGCAAAAACCGCAGTGGCAGCAACCGCCGCAGACGCCGTTGACTGGGTAAGCGAAAAAACAAGTGTTTAAATGTCAACGGCAAACAAACTAAAAATCGCTGGAAAAACCAGCAAGCAGACAAAGGAGTATCACATCGCCCTCCCCGAAATCCCAGTCCCCGCCCCCCGATCCTCTGGGCCGCATTTCATATGGAAAGATACGACTGCCACTGCCACTGAGAGTCGGGGACTCATCTTCTTTTTTGTCGAGTGTTTGCTGGCCCGGGCGAAAATGTCATGAACTTTTGCGGCAGACATTTTGCAAGCGGTCATCTGTGCGCTACATTCGGCGGTTCATATGTTTTCAATTTTTACTTGTGGTCTAGTCGATAACTCACCCAAGAGCACGGCAAATGTCAGAGTTATCCAAAACTGCATCTTGTAGGTTGCTTGATGGTTGGAATTCGTTGTAAGATTGCGACACACTCACTCACTCACTTTAACTTGTTTACAGTTTGCTTATGTTTTGTATCTCTCGGGTTAATAACAAGCCGCAGCCAATTCTAGGCTTGGCCGCACTTTGCAGGGCACTTTGCAGAACATATTTCCATCACTTATTTCTCACTAACAGTATATGCGAACTGTCTTAGGGTTAATAAATATTATTCAAGTATTTATTTATTTTTTCGATTATTTCGGCGCAATAACTTCGAACTCTTAAATCGCTACTGGGAGCCACACCAATGTTAGACCACGCGCAGACCGACCAAGACTAAACGCAAAGTATCTGTATCTTTGAGATACAGGTCCAAGCGCGGCTCAGAAAGCGAACTCGAACATCGGTGGCACGTTCGAAAACGTTGGGGCTCAACTTATACGGATATTACTGAAGAACAAACATAGTCGATGGGTTTATGTCACAGCTACCCTAAACGTATAAGACAAAATACATGCTTTATAAGGAAACATGTCTTATACTTTTAAATTTAAATATTTTAAAAATTAATCTTTATTAACACAAAAGAAAAAATCTATTTCATTCCACTTCTGAAATGTTTAAGATTTTTTTACAATTTTCATATGTACATGTCTGGTATCTAAAACCATTTTGACTTTTGCAGCCACTCGTATCTTTTAGAACATCTCGACTTCGTTTTTGCACAATCTTTCGCAAAGTAATCGTGAATTTCTCTCACAGCTTCCACTGCTTCGGCGCCGGAGAGGTATGCGACTCTGCTAATTGTGCAGACGTACTCTTATACCACATAGCTGAATGCGTTTTCGAAGAGTGGCGCCACCAAAATATATTAATGTCTCATACCTATAAGAGCTGTATAAGAAATATTATACTGTAGGAGATGTATAAGTGGCGCTTATAAGAGTGTATACGAAATAAATATAATATAAGAGTTGTATAAGTCTAGCTTATAAGAGTTGCGCAAAATAGAGTAGTATAAGCTGGACTTTAAGAGTTGTACTTCACAGATAATATTTAAGAGTGGGCTTCAAACTTTTTCAAAGTGTTTGTTGTTGTCTCGAGTGTTAGGCTTTTGGTTATGAAAGTAAAAGTAAAAGTATTTCTAGAGCTGCGGGTGTGGGTGAGAGACGAAAACTTCATTGAACAGCAGCAAAAATATATATCCTAGAAGTTTTCGACTTAAGTGAAAGTACCAGCAATGAGATGAATTAGAAAAAGTTTTTGAAGGCAGAAATATTTGAGTAATAGGAAATGAATTGACCGAGATTCGGGATTACTACGAGTGTGTATCAAAAGTTATGGGGCAGCAGAAACATATTTAAAGAACTAATAATCCGGTTAGGATGAGTGCCAAGTCGAGGGGAAAGAAAAATGCCTAAATAGGGGTGTCATCCAACGCACCACTGAACACACATATATCTTTAGTCAGTCTATGCTGGGAAAATTTAATTAAACTCGATTTAAATGTTCGACCACTTGGACAAAACGTTAACAGGTCATCAACATCAAGTTAAATATTTAAAATCAAACTGTTTTCTGCACTTCGGAAATTCCCATTTCGATTGGAAATGAACAAAAATTGACCTGCACTCTTATGGTCGAATATCTCTACCATATGATATTTTCGTATAGTGGAATTTATTTTTAAAATTAATTAAATACCTCGCACATCTCGAACAATACAAATCGCAATGCACTCGAGTTTTGCTTTTGCAGCTGATGAATTGCAATAAAAATGCACTTCAATGGAAAAACAAAAATCGTTTCTGAAAAATTGAAGCCAAAGCTACTGGCACAACTTTCGCCCCCCGCCCCGATAACGGGGAAAAACAGCAAACAAGTCGGAAGAGAATCAACAAATATGTTTGTTTGTCTGTGCATCTGAATAATAAAAATATAGCGGGAGTGAGATGCCAGGGAAATGTATCAAGGACGTGTAACTGGCTCATGTTACCCGCGATCAGTGCTGTTTAAAAAACCGAAAAATGAAAAACAAGTTTACAAATGCAAAAAATACAAAATTAATTTTAAAAATTCTTGATTTATATTTTATATGTTCATAGAAATGGAATTTGTAATATTGAAATATTTAAACTGGATTATTATCGTATTAAAGATAAATAGGTGATTTATCAACTGATAAGATATTCTACCTCTTTTAACGATAAAGTTCTTTAATCATTGGAATATGGTATACTATACGGTATTTATCACATCAAAACCATGAGGACGGATTATGATTATGATTTGGACAACCACTCGCTCGATTTGTGATGTGTGAAATGAGCTGGCCAGGACAGAGAGGGAGAGATGGATGTAACGTATAGATATAGATATAGCCTGAATAATGTGGTGGCTCAACTAGTGCACAGGCTGGCTTTATTAATGGCTCATAATGACTTAAGTGAAATTACTGAAGCGTAACTGGCCGCTCTCCTCGCTATCTGGCCATCTCTCTCTGCCACTCGCGTCCCGACTCCCTCCGTCTCTTTCCGCCTAGCTGGCCCAGTTCAGCTGCAACCATAAACGGCGAGAATTCCCACGCGGCATTTAATATTCTGTTGCCCGAGTAAATTTTACCCCGTCCCCCTTGACCTTCTTCCTTCTTCCTCTTGACGGTTGTTGCTGTTGCTGTTGCTACTGCCACTGGTGGTTCTGTGCAAGTTGTTAAGGTCAGTTCATATATTATGCTTTGCCAGGCAAAAGGTGCCATAAGTCTGCCACCATGTGCAGGGTGTATAAGTAGTTTCCACCCAAACCCACCCCCACCCCCAGGCCTTTGTGTCTTCTCACTTTTCCCTTTGTCCGTGGGCAACTGTTGCCTACTTTCCCGCTTTTCCATTTCCTTTCCTTTCCCTTTTATTTTCTGTTCTGGCTCTGTTCGGTTCCCTTTTGCCTGCTAATTAAGCGAAATTTTGCGTAATAAGCTTGTCTGTAATTTGCGCCATCTTTTTGCCTTTTCTTTTCTGCCGTTTTGTGTGCGAGCAAGTGTATATGTGTGTGTGCTGCTACTTTCCTTTTGGCCATTCTACGGTTTCTGTTAACTGTCATCAAGGTGTTCATTGACTTTGTTATTATACCTTAATGAATTTCGGGGAGTAGCTGTACAGGAGCAAGCTCAAGAGATAGATGGCAAGCAATTTCTGCACTGACTTCCCGAGAAAGGTTACTTAAGCTCGAGTTGGTATAAGTCCATTGATTAACTAGGCTTCCAATTATGTCAATGTACGGAAAACTAATTGGACTTGATTAACATAACAATGAAACCCATATAGAGATTTCTGAATATGGCAAATTCTGCCATTTAAAATTCATTACAGCAACGTACTTGCAATTCAGGGAAAATTCTAATCACCAATTGGGTAATTAACTAAGCTTCTTATACATAATATATTGTAACGAAGCGAATCATAAATCGCATATCTTGGGCGTCTCATAATTCTTAAATATACCAGAAAGCCCAGTCATAGAACTAAAACTATCGCTTCAATCCAGAAATCTTTAAAGTTAAGCGAATATTTAATATTTCATTCATTTAAAGCCCCGAAAATCCCACAACAAAGAACGAAATTACATTTTGAGCGCCACAGAAGCATTTTCCAGCTCCATTCACACACCAGGAGCACCGCAGTGAACCCAAATCCGAAAGATACTCATATGCACTTCAATTCCGACCCAACAGCTCGCTGCTAATGTATGGCTTAAACCTGTGCCAATGTTTGCCACTGATAAGTACGCATTATTTACGCTACGCCTAACTCGGTACACGCATAATTTCATCAAAAATTCACACCGCCAGACAACCAACACAACAGCAGCACAAAAGTATAATGAAAAAGCTGTGGAGAGCTGGGCAAAAAAATTGTAGATAATCATATTGTGAAATTTTTAACACCTGCTGCTTGTTGTGGTTTTGTTGCCCTTCCATTTTTATCTGCTGCGAGTGGATATCAAGCAAAATAATAAAGGCATTATTTACACAGGCATGGCAGCAAAAAGCCAAAATGTCATTACACACACAGGCTCACACGCAGGCGAGTTGTTGGTGTTGTTCCAACACATGTAAACAAAACCATTGAATTAAACCAAAAATTAGCATCGATTTAAGTCAAGACCCGGCGAATTATCCCCACGGCTTACCTATGTATGTCCCCCCAGAACCCCATAGCCCCATCACCCAGACCTCCAAAACTCGCCACGACTTAGCCCGCTTATCAGTTACGCCAACCCGAGCAAGGAACACAAACAGCCTACACAAACACCTACGAAACATCTCGCCCAGTTTTGGCTTTAAACAAATTTTGAGCATAATTTAAACATGTGTTGGCCCCCCGCCCTCCGCTTTTCGGCCTTCCGCGAACTGACTACCAAACCGCCTACCACGTATACGTATGTACACGCTGCGTATGCTTAATCCCTTTTAATCCGTATTTCGGCAACGTGTGTGCCTACATAATTCCGAACAGGAAAAACAACAACAACAACAACGTCAACGACAAGGACATCCCTTCTTCCTTCGCCCATAAAACCAGCAGCAGCAACAGCAGCGAAATGCAAATGCAAATCACGCCGGAGTCGCTGATAAGGTGGCGTAGTAGTATCTCCTAACCAGACTGTCCTCGTTTCTCCCCTTTTTTTGCGGATTTTCAAGTGCTTTCGCGACTCGGCGGCCGCAGTTGTCAGCCAGCAGAGATCCTTGATAGATGCGAGTGTAAACTGAAGTGTGTATCTGGGGGATGAATAGCAGCCTTTATAAATAAAGTCCCACAGGTTGCTTTTGTTTCGGAGGCAAAACTTATGTTAAAAGTTGCTTAGGATATGCTACGTATCATTATTAATGAGTAATGAGTAGAACATCGAAAAAATAAGATCACACATACGACCGTTTTTAAGGTTTAAAAAGCTTTGTATCTAAAAAAATATTTAACTAGTAAATGTATTTAAAGAAAATGTTATTTCTTTACATAAACTAAGATTATAATCTAAGTTTTATAACTTGATCTGTTAAATATGAAAATATGAAATACCAAGTGATGTTTATTCAATCATTTGTTCTATTTCCCTAGCCTAATCGGTTTCTTTTAAATTGTTGATTTCCTATTTTTTTAAAAATAAAACCAAGCTTTTCAAAACGCATTTCATTTATTTTTACTGTTGCATATCAAACAAAAACACCTCTTGACGTGTTAAAAACCTAGTGACGATCGCACCATCAATATTAATAAATTCTAAGATCAATGTTTGTGACTAATCGACTACAAAACAAGAGAAAACGCTATAGTCGGGTGCCCCGACTATCAGATACCCGTTACTCATCTAAAGGGAGTGCGAAGAAGATGGAGATAAAAACTTTGATCCGCCGAAACTTTTTAACGAATGCTCCGATTTAAAAAATTTCTTCTACATTTCGATAGGTATTCATAAACACAATAAAACTACATTTTTACTTTTCCGAAATATTAAAAATTTTTAAAATCGTATATAAGCGATTGTGGGCGTTAGAGGGGGCGTGGAACCCTTTTGAAACAAACTTGCGCTGCGTAGGAACTCCTAGAATCTGCATGCAAAATGTCAATCTTCTAGCTTTTATAGTTTCCGAGATCTCAGCGTTCATACGGACAGACAGACAGACAGACAGACGGACAGACAGACGGACAGACGGACATGGCTAGATCGACTCGGCTAGTGATCCTGATCAAGAATATATATAGTTTATAGGGTCGGAAACGCTTCCTTCTACCTGTTACCTGTTACTGTTACTGTTACTCTACGAGTAACGGGTATAAATTCACTTTATGCAATTTTCTCATTTGGAAAAATTTGAAAATACACGTTTTAACTGCTAGGTGACGCTTTGCAGCTTGCATATCTTCATCTGCCTTGCACTCACTTCAGCTGACTAACAGATACCTAAAAGTCGAGATTATTTGCCTTGGGGCGATTTGGGGGATAAATATAAATAAATTGTCATAATAGCTATCAAAAAGCTTTGAATATTTAAAACTATTAAATCGTCAAGCTTCCATTAACAAAATAAATGGTACATTATAATATTTAGGGTACGAAGGTACACATAATTCTATTCAATTTTCAGTACAGGTTTTGATAGGCGATGGATTCGAATATCACTGTTTTAGGAGTATTCGTAGCTGTTGTCTTTCTTGCGTATAATGTAAGGTTTTAACGCTTTTTTATTCTTAAGTCACTTAGTAAATCCAAATTTATATCAGGAGGCACCTTTTGTGAAAATGACAAATGCTGTCTGTGAGTCATACAACAAATCGTGGGTCGCTGTTCATTATTGTCGACTGAAGGCCCATTCTCGAAACAAGACCAGCTTGAATATTAATGTTACACTTTCTGAGCCAGCCTTCAAAATATTCGTTCATATAAAGTTGATGAAGAAAGCAAATGGCTATAAGCCGTTTCTAGTTGATTATAACGTCGATGCCTGTGAATTTATGAGAAGGCGAAACCAACCCGTTGCCAAAATAATATGGAACCTGATCAAGGATGTATCCACAATCAACCACACCTGTCCTTATATGGTAAGATCGCCTTAAGAGTATTCAGCAATCATTACAATTCAGATTAAATCATTTAATGCTTATAGGGTTTACAAATGCTAAGTGATTTCCACTCAATCGAAGTTCCCGTTCCACTTCCGTCGGGAGAATACTTACTTTTACTAGACTGGATATTTGATAAGAAGCCGCAGTTCGCTACAAATGTTTATTTCACATTTGTGGAAGATTTTCTGAATAGCCATTCAAAGCACGGCAAGAAAAACTAAGAAATCAAAAGAAATATGGTGATATATTCCACAGGGGTGTAATAGTCTCCTTTCTAATTGAAAAAATATACACTCTGCAAGGGTTTAAATATCAACCTGAAATGGATTTATGTCTGCTCTCTAATGAAGGAGCAACATTACACTGAGGTAATCGTTCTTTTACATTATATATTTATACCATTTTTCTAGATTTTTGGTAAAAGTTAAATAACGATAGCACATCTAGAAGTATTTTTGGCCGCGGCTCCATACAAGCGTCTGTTCGCCATTGGAATTTTTAAAAATATAAGTATGTTATTAATATTAACTTAATATGTACCTAATTGCAAACTTAATTACAGTCACGGTTCAAAAAACAAAAAGTTCACATTAATTTGGTTTTTAAAGTATTATGCAACACATATCATCATTTAGTCTTGAACTGAGTGTTCATCGTTAGGCCATGCATTTAAAGTATACAATTTGTGTATTGATCGGAGTTTTTACTTTTTTAATATGCAGTGTAAGCCTTTTTTGTAATTGTACGAAAACCAATGAAAAACCCTCTAAACAACTACTTTTATTAGGAAGCACCTTTTGTGAAAATGACAAATGCTGTTTGTGTGTCATACAACAAGTCGTGGGTCGTTTTTCATTATTGTCGACTGAAGGCCTATTCCCGAAACAAAACCAGCTTGAATATAAATGCCACCTTTCTGGAGCCAGCTAATAATATATTAATAAAGGTGAAGATTATGAAGAAAGCAAATGGCTATAAACCGTTTCTGGTTGACTACACTTTGGATGCCTGCAAATTTATGAGAAGGCGAAACCAACCCTACATGAAGATTATCTGGAATATGATAAAGAATGTATCCACTGTTAATCATACCTGTCCATATGTGGTAAGAAAGTAGTTTGTTGTTTTGAGTACCATATGTATATAAATTCAATTTTTTCAGGGATTGCAAACTGTAAACGATTTTCATGATGTCTATATTCCTCTTCCATGGCCATCTGGAGCAGTGCTGCCATTTTGTCCTCTTTCCGGACAGATCTGTCCTTTTTTTAACGGGTTTAACCGGAAAAAATTTCAAACATCCCCTATCCGGAAATCTGTCCTTTTTTCAAAAAAAAGGTCTTGAGTGTTATTTTTGCCAGTCGAAGTGTGTAAACCTGTTTTTATATGCTAAAACGCCTTTTTAACCATCAATCTTACAGTTCGGCACTTAAAAAATAATTATTTTTACAAATTATCAAAGAGACGTAAAGCAGTCGATGGATTTTCTATATAGTACGATTTTTTCTGTAGCAAAAAAAGAGGAAAACACTTTAAAAATTTCTCAATTTTTACTCTCTGCTTTTTTGTCAGAAAAAAATTTCAGATTTTAACGACTCTTAAGGCCGGTTTCTCGAGTCCCTGTCAAAGTCCCTGATAGCTATCTGTTCGAAAAACTTAAATACCAGATAAACTGTTCGTAAAAGCAAATCCGCTTTCTCGACTGCTTTAATTTATCTGAACGAGAAACAATTACAGAGTGCTGTTAACGCACAGAATTGTGCTGTGAAGCGCAAAAAATGGCATGCTTCGATTATTTTATCAGCTGTTTGGGTATAATTTTAAGGAAAAGTCAGCTGTGATTTCGTTTCTTCTTCTTAGTTGGCTTTGGGAAATCAGCTGTCATTCTATCGAGTCGAAAACGCTTAACAGGGACTCCGAGTCCCTGTCAAAGTTAGCTCTCACATTTATGCTCGAGAAAGCCAAAATGCCTTAGCAGGGACTTTATCTGTTCGAGAAATGTTAGCCGGCACTCGAGAAACCGGCCCTTATTCGGGTTTGACGCAGATATGGCATTTTTTTGTATTACCATTATAGTTACTTGAAATGCTTTTATTATTTTAATAATTTTAGATTATTACGTATACGCACAAAAATTAACCATGGTAAAATGATCAAACAAAGAAGGATGTGAGTCGGGCGCAGTAGGTCATTACATAATTGAATTTAATATAAAATCCATTTAAATTAAGTAATTATATAACCCATTGGTAAAACAGAAAAATGGAGGCGCATTTACTTTTGTCCCTTTTTTTGTCCTTTTTTAAAATTTTTTGTCCTTTTTTTCCCTGTTTTTTTTGGCTTATCTGTCCTGTTTTTCAAGCTGAGTGATGGCAGCACTGATCTGGAGACTACTTACTTTTATGGGATTGGATTTTTGATAATAAGCTGCAATTTGCAACAAATGTTTATTTTAAGTTTGTAGAGGATTTATAAACGTACACTTCCTAAATAGTCGGTTTGCCACAGGCATTATTGAAAAAATCGAATTATAACATTATTTTAATTTCATAATATGTAGAAAAACTGTTCGGAAATTTTCAAACCTATTATATTGTCACGGTTTCAATATCATATCAAGAAATATGTATAATAATTGAGTCTTTGGTAAGTATAGTATATGGGGGTGTCACAGAAATCTCTTCCAACCAAAGACATTGATGTACGTAAGAAACATAACGGATTTTGATTGAAAAAATGTTGCATTAATCGGAGCTTTTGCGTTTTTAATGTGGACTTTATTGGCAGCTCTGCAATAATTTACCAATTTTGCTTTCACTTTCACATTAATTTGACCGAGTTATGATAAGTCATAGTACCAATATTTGAAGAGAATAATAATACCTTTTAAATGGTTTACTACAGATTTCGATTAGACTATCAAACTTTACAAATACTTTAAAAAATACTGTTAATCAATGTTAAAGTATGTCAGGCAATACAAAATATTTAGTTAGTTACGGCAAAGCTCAAATGGTTATTTAAATTTAATGTTTACAAAACAATGTTGTCAGATGGAAAAGCAAGGTATTTATGTGATGAATGCTGCCAGGAGACGAGTTCGTATTTATAGTTTGTCTTTCTATTTATCTGACTGCCCAGATTCAATGGGAGAGAAAACTAATATTCCTGCGCCCTCCCCCTCCCTTTAGCAATCAGCTTTTACTTTGACGCACTGACGTCTTGGATGGGATTTTAGTTACTATCATTTCATTCTGTTGCATTTACTTGGAAAATTTAATATATACAATATTAATTTCCATCATAAAAAAGACTTTTGTGGCAGAGAGTGAAAGATATGGATAGATTCTGTTGCTGAATGTCATAAATGTTGCACGAATGGCACACACGAAGATGGGGAATAGAAATAAAATAAAATGTAAGCTCGAAAGTAGTAAACCGTAAAGCTCTGGCCGGGCACAAAAGACAGGGCCGAAAGCAGTTACACAATTTATGCATGGCAAGAACCCCCTGGATCCCGAAACCCCCGACATTTTGTTGCATTCAGCGCCATCTTAGAGAGGCTCTCGCCTGCCTATTGTAAATGCAGCTTAGAATTTGTTGCAAATAAAGTGAAATGGCAACGGCTGCTATGAAATTCCACATCCACACTCACCCTCAAAACTCTGTGAAAAAAGGCCAGAAAAGGAAGGGGAAAAAATTGGCAATTTAACATTTGACGTTTTCTACGAGACTTGTTCAAACAATATACTTGGGAATTTGTTTTAATGCTCTGGCGGGGATCGAGGGGCTCGAGGTCAGTGGGTAGGTGCGAAGGGTTACTTCCTAGCTTTTCTCCGACTTTCTTTAGCTTGTACGACGTAGCCCGAGGACGTTGGCAACTTGCAATAATGGCTTTAAATTTTTATTAGATGACGACGCTTATGCGCCTTAGTTGCCTACAGTTGTAGCTCCCCCTTGCGAATCCCTCCTCCTTGGACTCCGGGACTTGTCCTGGAATCCTCGACTACTTGCAGCCTGAAATGTTGAAATGTTGTTGAGAGTTTCAGGCAGTTTGTGTGAACGTGTGAGCCAGTGCACGGCAGTTGTTCACGTCGCACTGGCCACGTGTTCAGACACACTTATGTGTATATTAGTAGCCGGGAGGTGTGCAAAAGCGGACCGACCATGTAGTCGACTTTCGACCTGTTCATGTATAAATATATACACTAATTGCCAAAAATAGGTTAATAAAAAAGGTAAACAATGGTTGCCGTCAAGTCGATGAGGAAATACGCTTGTAATGGGAAAAATCCAAGCAGTTTCGAGCAAGTCCTTGTGAATATAATCACGAACTGTACTTTGTTTTTACGGACTCTTTTTTTCTACTTTTAAGCAATTGTAGAAAAATAACATAACATAACTAAAACAAATTTGTGAAATAAATTTAAATATTAAAAAAAAACATTTTATAGTATTTCTAATTAATAAAAAACTTTATTTTGAAAGTTAACTGTGCAACATTTTAAGGGTTATAAAATGTAACCGCAATTCTGATTTCATGGGCGGAAAGTACTCATCGAAATAAGCTAAAACCCATTTGTGTTTCTCTGGCTTAGCTCGCGTTTACCTATTATAGCGAATTAAAGTTTTACATACAAAATTTATTTGTAACGGACATATATTTTATTTTATAAATAAAAAATAACTTATTATAAGCTATTTTATAAATAAAATACAACTTATTATCGATTAAGATCATTTAGTTTCAAATGTGACGAAAGTGATTTAATAAATAAATCTCCAAGGAACAGTTTTCCATATATCTTATAGCTAAGGATTGTCCTTTGATTCTCCTTACTTCATACTCGTTGCACTTTTAAAGCATACTTTTCAGAGCGCATATTCAGAAAATGGTCCTTTTTTGAAACTGCGACAAAAGGGAATTGAATTAAAGTGTTTGTGAGAGTGCATGTTTAGTTGGTTGCCCCTGAGCGTATGCTAGACTTTATTTAATGCGGCTGTTGCCTGTCGCCTAATTCGCATAATTACGCGCTTATTATTTTTGCCAACTGTCGCTGTATCTCCATCTCTATCCTTATCTGTATCTGCAGCTATAGCATAGCTGTATCTGCATCTGGGTCCGCCTGTCATTCTGTCTCCCTCTGGCCGCCTGTTGCCGTCTCCCTTTTTGCCAGCGCGTAATTTTATTTAGCTTTGCGAGCAGCGTTGTAATTGTGTTATTTGCTTGATTTTATTATTTGCTCCGAGGCCGCAGTCGGCACAGCCGCACCACCTAGCGGCCATAATTAACCAAATAAATAAAACAGTGGAAAATCGTCGACGGGGCTTAACTATGGGTATTCCATATCTATATGTAAAACTAATACGGTAGCATCGGCACTCACACATACAGCAATACAATATTGTCACATTCCCTTTTTTTAGCTGACTTATTTGCCATTTGGCCCGCGGTGTTTATTTTGGGGTTTTTAATGTCCTGGCCTGCAGGGGCCAAAGCAAATTAAATGGCTGTCAAATGTTGTTTTATTTCAGCTGGGTGGCTTTGTGTTTGCGGGACTACTTATTGGCATGTTTGCGAATTCGGTTTTGCAAATTCAGTTTGCTTGTTTTGGCACTGCCATTATGAAGTTGTGAGCATAACTAATTGAAAAGTTTTTTCCCGTTTTGTTGCCGGATTTCAGCTTGGCCAGCGAGAGATTGTCAGCGTTTTATTTAATTCCATTTTTCTTTTTATGTTCTTGAGGAGTGGAAATGGGATTACCCAAGAGTTTACAAAATACAAAAGATTTACTATTGAAATTATTATCAATTCATTTAACAACAAAGAACTACTTTTGTTCCCATGGTATAGCCAAGTGCAAGGGCTTGAAAACTGTCTATTAGGATTACTTGGTAAATACCTATTATTGTGTCAAGTTTTGGCTCTCCGTCTCTGAAATAATTAATTGGTTTGGTTGCGAAAGCCTGCTTCAAAGTAATCGCCAATCACAAGGCATCCAGGGCTTATGAAAATTAATTTAATCACTTACCAAACATTGTCGAAGACTAACTTATTGACGGCTTTAGGCAACGGCAAAATCTCTCTGGCGCACACACAGCAAATGCACAGCCCGACTGCGGATGCTGTTACACCCGAAATCGAATTGCCTCCGACAGAGTTTTACCTTACGGCCCCGCTCACCGCCAATAACCGCAGCAAATTACATTTATTTAAGTTCCGTCACATCAAACGTTTACGCCTCCCCCGCCCCCCGCTGGAGGGGGGTGGTTATGCGCCCATAACTCAGGCAGACAACCTTGAGCAACAATTGCCCATCTAATTCACTCAGCTGCTCACCTGTTACCTGTTGTCTTGTCTTGGCCCATATTACCTGGGCCTCTCCTCTTCGACGTCATGATTGGCATCATCGGCTGACTGTGACTCGACTGCCGGCGGCGCAGTTAATGTTGTCTGATTTCATTAGCGCTGCGCAGCTCTCGCCTTTCCCCGCCTTTTCCCACCTGCCTTCTCGCACAAATGGCGTATTGACACTTTGCTTCTTGGGCCTTAACACTTGGCGGTGCCAGCGGGGTCGAAAGTGGCCCTTGGGGTACATTTTTCAACGGAAGAAAAGATTCTTTGGGAAGCAATTTTATGGGATCAATAAAAAAGATATCATTCATTTTTCAAAAATGTATTTATTGTACCCACTTTTAAACAAGTATTGATATTGTTAGATAAGAACTTCAATACAAGTCTGTTTGTAGGTTAAGAACTTTAATGTTATTTGATAGATTGCATACAAGTTTCTTTGTTCCATTTAAAATGCTCATTAATAATAATTAATGAGATTAAATTTAATTAACATAAGTTTGCAAGTATTTTAAAATACAAATTCCACGGGAAATCGGCCCATAGACAGAATACCGTGTACTGCTTTATTTTTTTAAATTTCAGCAATCCAATTAAATTAGTTTTTAGCACCATTTTCCAATTTATTTGTTTGCTACAATATTACTGAGTATTTACATACTAAACATTGATTTATCTGCCTCCAAATGATATTATTGCAATGTTGCGATAACTTTTGTATAATTTTGTAACATATTATAATTGCTTTTATATGGATCGCTGACGTAAAACCCGCAATTAAATAATTATCATGAATTTATAACAATCAACCGAAATTGCTCCATTGTGGGGTTAATGAAAACACGTGTAATTTATCTCTCTGCTCTTTCGGTTTCATTTTCGCCCATCTGGTTCGCACGCCAATTAACCGCCCAAGAGCCAAAAGTCCCTCCACCACCACCTCCACCCCCTTAACCATTTTACATGAACTTGAATGAGGTTATTATTGGTTTTCCTTCTCCTGTTGATATTGTCGTCGATGGCTGTCAATATTATTGCCCCCGATACTATAATCGCATTTGTATGTTGCTCTTTATGGCCATGTATTTATTTATTTCGGAATTTTCCCACCCATTCCGCCCGGCGACGGCCGCTTGTTGTGGCTAATTTGCTTTTATTATTCGCATTAAATTTTATGCTTACGTTCATGGATTTTTCTAATAAAACGTCGGGAGCAGAAATTGAGACTTTGCTCGACAGTGCGAATTAGGCGAAAGTGTTTTCGCATCATTTTGTGTCGTGCATTTTAATGTCCAGTTTAGGGCAAGGCAGCTGCTCCTACTGCATTGGATTCTCCTGGTTTTTTAGGGCCTACCAATGATGAAACCGAATTGTTGATATTGATGAAGCGTGTCAATGCTTTCTTAAGGCCGATTAAAGAATGGGATCAAAGATATCCGTTAAAGCATGGGAAATGTGTACTTTAAAATAGCACCCTTTCTTATCTGTAATGGTAAATTCAAAATTATGATTCCGAATTTTAAATTGAAAACCTTTTTCACATTATACTCCTTAATTTTATTTATAAATTATTATTTACATTATTTGAGACTCCAATTCAGTAAAATATTTTAAAATGTTTCTTAAAATATTTCTGGTGTACAAAAACCCACCTTTAACTTAAACCTCCCGATACCGTAAACGTTTAAATAAAGTGGAGTTTATGTGCCAGCCTGTGGAATTTATCAGAATTTTCTCTGTTTTTTCTACTCATTCAAATTTTGTTGCTAAGTAAACTCGTGTTCCCCCTCCGCACCTTAATTAAAACTGGGGGAACATTTTCAATTATATGTGTGACCTATCAGTGACAACAAATAAACAAGAAGACACAGAGTGAGGCCTGCTACACAAGTACACAAGTCCTTCCTGCATTTGCATATGTGTCATAAAAACGGGCAGCGCATAACTTCCCCCCAAGACCTGGGCTCCTCGTACTGGAACGCGTAGTCGTATTTTCCCCATTTTTGCCCACTGGCAACGACCCCGCAGCTGGGGCGTTTGTTTTTTATGCCACACCTCGATGCAAATCATTGCCACATCTGACGCACATGTGGCACGTAACAGACAAACAGACACACAGACGCAGATCGTTGCGACAAGCTCTCGTTGTCGTGGTCGCTGCTGCTGGATTTGTCTGTTTTGTGATTGTTGTTGTCGGCATTTCGGGTGGGGGGTTGGAGAAGTGGGACGAGAAAAGCCGTGAAGCGGGCTCCACCGGCGCTCCATCCTCGAATCCTACCACCATCCATTTCTCCGTACTTTGCTGTGACATTCTGTAGGCGCTATGGCGTGCGAAATTGTAAATTTTTCGTCAGACGCAGCTCCGCTCCCTCGAATCCTATGTCCATTACCACACTCAAAAATATTGGATATTTTTATTTTCAATGGAAACAAAAAAGCTCTGAAACTAAATGCAAACTGCTTAAATATAAAAACTACTTTTAACCCATTTAAGATAACAACTTTTGCTTGAAAAATATTGAAATCTTAAGAAAAAGTGTATATATTGTATTGTAATTATTTTTTAAAGGCAACAATGCAATATGTAATATTTTTCCAACAAAAAATGAGTTTCAAATTTAAATGCATTTTTTTTTCAAGTGCATGTACATACAGCTTTTTTGTTGTCATCGTGTTTGGTGTGTATATGCATTATTAAGAATACACTCAGCTGTCAGCAAGTGAGCGTCTGGTGTCCCAATCTCTGTTTGCAGTGGTGCTCCTCCAGTCTCCAGTCTGCGACTCCTTGGGCTCCATGGCCGCAACCTCTGCTCAAGTCAACTCGGCGACCCATTTGAATTTTTAACTTTATTTGCCTGGCTTTCTTTCGCGAGTGCCGATGCTGTGTGGGGATAGAGTCTATATGCAGGGGTCCTTGATCCAAGGGTTGTCTAGTCAAGGTCGCGAACAAGGCCTGGCAAGTGGCTCTTTGAAATGTCAGGGAGTTAAAGTCATTTTCCCAAAATCTCTGAGCTGTCATATTTGGGATCCTCCCGCAAATCCCGCCCGATGTTAATGACCAGCAAAAACTATTGAACTCTTAACTGACAGATTTTAGCTTTTTTGCCTCTTTTCTCCCGCTGTACGTGCACAAAGTTTTGCTTTATGTTTTCGTGATTTTCCTGCTTCGAAAGTTGAGTTTTGACCTGCGCCTGGCATTTTCCGCACTGAGGGCTTTTCGCCCGCCCTTCGCCGAACGGAGGAAAAAGAGGCACAAACATCATTTCATATTTCCAGGTGGAGAACCAGCTGAGTTGCCGCTTTGCTATTTGCTTTTCATTTATTACACTCAGGGAAAAAATTGTTCTGATTGTGTCTGAAAACGTGTCTGTTTGAGTCTCAAAAATAGCTTTATACCGTTTGGTATCATTATAAGAATTTATGGTATTATTTTAAGAACGAATTTTTAAGACCGCTGTTCTTACTCTAAGAACGAAACGTACTTAAATTTATATTTATTTTTAGTACAAAAATAAATTTTTTTGAATGCTCCTGTAAGCATTTTGCCATGGAAGGAAATAATAAGGCCATGGCCCAGGGGCCAAGGTGCTGGATTCTGGTATTATTTTATGTTTATGGGGTACGAGGTTCGATTCCCGCTCACAACACAGCTTATTATTTTTTTTTTAATTAGTAAACTAACAACATAACTTTTTTAATACATTTTTGTTCTTAAAGTTATTAAGGAAATATTAATTGAAATACATTTGAAAAACTTTTTACTTACATTGACTGATCCGGTTTTTGAACCGGGGTCCTCTCGCATCAGAGGCAGACGCCTTACCAACTGGGCCATCGCACTGTGTTTCGCGCGCGTGCATAAGTTCAACTTAAATCTAAATTTACTGGTCTTAAATCAATACCCTTTGGTATCAATATAAGAATATGGTCTTAAAAAAATAAAAGAACAAAACGGTAGTAATGTAAGAAATTCGGTCTTAGATTTTTTCGGTCTTTTTTTTCTGGGTGTAGAAAAAACGCGAGTCCAACTTCCGCACTCGGCTACGTCACTTTTGGCCACTGCACACGTGTTCACAAATATTTGCGGTACGTGGCCGCACACCTTTTGCCCAATGAAGCCCGGTTTTTGTGGAAAATAATTCGATGCAATTTCCTTGTGCGTATTTTCATACTATGGTTTTAATAATCCAAGGGCTTTTTAGTTGCTTTTTGTCGAATTTGATGGGTTGCTGCTGCTGCCACGATGCGCTGCATAGATTTTCCATAAAACACTGCAGGATGCATGCATTCCATTTTGCTAACCATTTTCGACGGTCGCTTTGGCATCTGATAATTTTCCCGATTTTCATCGCTGGCCGCGGCAATTTGATTTTAGTTTTCACCATGATGCCACGTTCTGGCCTTCTATCGACGTGTTTTGGCCGGCATTGAAGGGGAAATTTAATTTCGAGGTGAAACCGTAAAATGTTTGGTCTGGGGTCGTTGGGGTCGGGATCGTGTTTGGGTGGGTATTCTATGTGGGTTGGTGGCTCGGAGGTCGGCGGTCGGCGGTCGGGGGTCACTGCTTAACGTTTGCCGATACTTAAAGCTGAAGCTCGTTTTGCGGTTATTGCAAACTGTTTGGCTTTGCAGCAGCATTTTGCTGTCATTTATCGTTGCCCGCTGTGCCTGGTGTTGTTGGGCGGTGGGTGGTAAAATGCGGTGGGCACAATCCTGTGGAAATTCGGTGGAGTACACTGTATGTGTGAACTGTCATTTATTGTTGTCTACTTT